TTCAACCCTCTTCCCAACATGAGTCAGGAACAATTTGAAATAAGTTAACGTTTATGCAACAGAAACACTACATTGGTTTTCCCACTGTGACCCTGAAATTATTCTTTAAATTCATTAAATACTTTTAGAGGGATGTTCTTGGCATCTTCTCATTTTTTCTATTAAACCCAAACAGTAAATATCCCCTTTAAACCTTGAAAGCTGTCGTTTTTCTGTGTTAGAAATTGTGCAGTGATTGTGAACGGAGCACAGAGCTGCTCAGTGTGACATTTAGCCTCTCCTCCTCAGAGGTCTGGAACATGTTGCATGAGGAGGGAAGGGCTGATTCACTGCATTTAACAATTTTCCTGCCCCCACCCCCCCACCCCCCATCATTGCCTGTGTGGCTCTGCAAACTCAGCTGGAGAGCTGCTAAGAATAGCTGGACCACCTGCAGAAACTGCATCTCTGCCTCCCTTTCTGCTAAAGCAGCTGCTTTAATAGTTTGAAAGATCCAGATGACCCTTCTTTAATCCAAACAGGAACAATTAAACTTCCTGGTGAGGAATTTACACACTCAGGTTGGAGAAGGTTTAATTACATCCACTTAAAAACATTTGGTGCAGAGAAATCACAGAGCCTTTGAGTTTACATTGAAAGGTCCAGAAATGATGGGATTTCTGGGAGACTTTCTCTCCTCAGACCAAAGTTAGGAGGCTTTCTATCTAAAGCTCAGTGGTGTGTAGGCTTTCACTGTCAGTCTATGTGGTATGTGGGCAATGAAATGGAATAATGCAAACACCATGGTTCCATCAGTCAACAGAACCAGCAGTCCTACTGATACTAACAACACTGAGAGTAGAAGTGGTGAATTGTGAACCTTAACACACAACCATCAGAGTCAATTGAATGCCTTCCAAAGTCTTCACACTAGGTTACAAGCATCATGCGACTCTTCCATCTTGTATTGAAATACGGTTTACAGTGATATTTAACACTCTCCACCGAGAAGCAAAACGTGAGTACAGACACACAGTTTGAAGTATACCTTTTTTTGAGGAATATAATGATAAAAAGTCAACATAGCACAATGAACCCCACCTCTTAGCGCAAATGAGTTGAACCTACTTAAGCAAAGCCTGTCAACATGTCGCATTGGGCAAAATTAAAAACCAAACGGCCTACCTTAAAGCTGTCTTGATCGCGGGACTTTTTGCAAGTTGCAATTTATTCCAGATTCCACTTTGATCCACATGGTTTAACACACATGGACAGCACTGCTAGCAATCAATGGATTATGTCTGCGTTGCTCATTAACATTAGAATGATTAAAAGATGCTAAACCCCATCATCCACCGCAACATATTTTTGCAAAACATTCACACATAAATTTGCCAAATATAAGAGGAACATCATAGTTTTGTCAAAAGAAAGCATTTTACTTTTATTATTAGTTAGTTTGTTGCAAGGATTTTACAGGTTTGAAATTAAAGAAATAGAAAATGACATCATCTGCCAGCCGCCACAAGGATGAGCATGAAGGAGGGGCTAAAGATACGGCATGCATCATTTAGGGAGTAAAGATCACTGCTTCAGCTCCTTCAGTTATTTACTGTCACAGGTAGGAGCTTCGGCCGGAGAGGAAGTGTTGGAGCCGCTATGATTGAAGGAGGACCGGGTTCTGCTGGTTTTCTCCAACTGATTTCTCACTGCTACTGTCTGAGCACCAGGATGCTTTCTCACCGGTCCTGGTGATTTATCCCCGGAGGGAGGGAGGGAGGGAGGGAAGGAAAGAAGGAAGGAAGCAAGGAAGCAAGCAAGCAAGCAATCAAGCAAGCAAGCTAGCTAGCTAGCTGAGACCAATGAGCAGCAGACTGCAGAACGTTTGGAGCCCTTCCTCCTCCGTTCCTCACAGTGGCTCTATTATATCTGGTTTTGGGTTTTTATTTTGCTAAATGATTCTTGTCTCTGTCATTTGAAAATAAAATGTTTTTATCTTTCCTTTTGTTTTGCAGCTTATTCAGACTTTGAAGAGGCTGATGAGGCCTTCAATTGTTGAATTCAAGTCCCCGCTGGAGCTGTCGGCCCAGGGTGAGAGTCCTGCACACACACTGATAAACACACACTGAGTCCGGTTGAATGAGCGGATGAACGGTGGCGGTTTGTCCCTGAAGGATTTGTCCAAATCTGTTAAACAGCCATACATCAGGAGGGACACTCTTCCATTGTCCTTCTGTGTCCCACCTCTGGTCCTCGGTGAGGACATTTCATAGAACCGGGCCGATAGATCCGCTTCCTCTTAGCTGTAGATAAACTCCACCATAGCCAGGTTAGATGGACCTTCAGGTCTGCTCAGCTGAACCCTCAGCCTCTGGCTCTAGACCTCAGTGTTCATCTGGGACCTGCAGGAATCCTCCACCAGTCGTCCCAGTGTGGATCAGGATATGGACCTGCTGGTTTTCTGTCCACTGTCGGTACTCTGATTCACCCTCAGCTTTGAAAAGGCAGTTGCAGAGTCATCTGAGAACTTTAGAATAGAATAGAATAGAATAGAATAGAATAGAATAGAATAGAATAGAATAGAATAGAATAGAATAGACCCCTGGACCCCCCATGAGAACAGATGTCATTCACTCAGATCAACCTTCAGTCCAGCGCTAAGTTTAATAAATGAAATCTTGATTTATTTCATCAAAAAGGTTAGCCACACTATTAGAATAGAATAGAATAGAATAGAATAGAAAATGCCTTTATTGTCCCACAATGGGGAAATCCTGGTGTTACAACAGCAATAAGATTATAGAAAAAGGACCTTAGATAAAGGTCTAAGAAAAACATAATAGTGAAGAGAAACAATAAAATCCTGTAATGTGTTTTAACAGTTTAAAACTGGAGAATAAATAACCGATAAACAGCTATAGACAGTTATAGTTGGTGCAGAAGTCTCCAGTCTCTCAATGCTGGACTGTCCACTGTCCACTAAGTCAGCTGCTGGTCCACCACTGAAAGACCTAGATGGATGGTATGGAAGGCAGTGGAGGAACATGATCCTCACTGTGCTTCTCCAGGTGGCTCATAGTTTGCGGCGCCAGGTGGATGATGTCATCATCCAGCCCAGCGATGACCTCAATAGGGAGTGAAGACGATTAGAAGACGCTCCTCTCAGAGGGACGCAGGCGAAGGTCTGAGGCAGTAGCAGCAGCTTCCATCTTCAGCAGGACAGAGTGGTCCGTCAGAAGCATCTTCCTCTGATGCTCACCTCCAGTTTCCTGCACTCCAGGAGTTCATGCACAGGCTGGAGGGGAAGCAGGCGGTAAGGAGAGGCACTGAGCTGTACGCCTGAAATAAGGAATACAAGGAAAAACAAACGGTTCGGTCTGGATTTCAGAGCCGCCATGTTGCAAAGCTCACAGTGAACATGTCAGTAAACCACTTAGTGATGCTAATAGTGCTGTTCTACACTCACCATCATTATCTGCGCTCTGCACCCCCCCCCCCCCCCCCCTGCTTTATTGACCCGCTATGCTCTGCTTCCTCTCCTCCTTTCTGTCGTTTTCTCTTCCTGCTCATAATCTGTATGTCAGCTGGAAGCTGGAGGCCAGAACCCAGAGCTGCCCCCCCACACACTTTGACCGGCTGCTTTATTTTTAAAAGATGGATAGAAAAACAAAGCTTCAGTACTACCGTCCTGCGTCGGTTACTATGGAAACATGATCATCGGATGAACTAAAGCGCCATCTTTAAGGCGTACGGCGTGAACAGCCATCACACAGGAAGCCGTAGCTGCAGTGATCAATGCTAACATCTCACTCTGAGGTAAATAAGAGAAAAACATTAAGAAGATTTAGAAAATATAAATGAAAGTTTAAACATTAATAGTAAAGCAAAGGTGATAAAGTTATTAGAAAGCCGTATCACAGGTTTGCTGATTCCCTCACCTCAGCATGCTGGATCCTTGAAAATGAAGCCATGCTTTATTCATCAGCATGATAAACCCATTCCCACTGATTGATATCATCCTAATGAATCAATCAATAAAGTAGACGCTGTTGCTATGACAACAACACACTGTGGATTCCACTCCCTTCCCTCCAGTTGAAACGTCTGTTCATCAGAAGCGGCAGAAATATTCGCTGCTCCACCATCGACTCATCATGTCTGTTTGGACACGTTTCCCCGTGTCTGACTCCAGCAGACATGCAGAAACTTCACAGATCAGTGGATCTTAGACCAGATATTTATACAGGTCATTGAAAACTGACTCAGAGAGAAAGTTTGGAAAACATTCATCTATCAGAGAAAACTGATTAACATGAGAAATCTCCACTCTGGGATCTGTGGGGGTTTCAGGCAGACGATCAGGATCCATTTTTGGTTCTTAAAGCAGCAAAAAGCTTCAGACTTCCCATCAATCAGGAGGATTTTAATTGGACACAGAATATATAAACCCCCCCATCACAAGACCGTCTTTACAGACTCCCACAGGGACGTGTGATCCTGACCCACCGTGCTATGGTTCACATCTGACCAAACCTGCGTCACCAGTGGCCTTGAAGCTGTCCCTGATCTCCTGCTCATTTTCAAAGATCCCACCGCGGGCCTCAATGCTACGCTCCCACCGCGGGCCTCAATGCTACGTTCCCACCGCGGGCCTCAATGCTACGTTCCCACCGCGGGCCTCAATGCTACGTTCCCACCGCGGGCCTCAATGCTACGTTCCCACCGTGGGCCTTAATGCTGCGTTCCCACCGCGGGCCTTAATGCTGCGTTCCCACCGCGGGCCTTAATGCTGCGTTCCCACCACGGGCCTTAATGCTGCGTTCCCACCACGGGCCTTAATGCTGCGTTCCCACCACGGGCCTCAATGCTACGTTCCCACCGTGGGCCTTAATGCTGCGTTCCCACCGCGGGCCTTAATGCTGCGTTCCCACCACGGGCCTCAATGCTACGTTCCCACCGCGGGCCTTAATGCTACGTTCCCACCGCGGGCCTTAATGCTACGTTCCCATTTATCTGTGAAATCCGATATTTTTGGCGTTGCTGTTTACATTTCCAAATATATGCGACTTGTGTGTGATCTCCTGTGTGAACTGCATCTATACAACGCAAGTGTCCCGCATGCGCAGTAGAGGACGCCATGATGTCAAAAGCAGCGTGCTCTGTGGCCATTTCTCAACATGCGTTTTTGAGCGTTCTCTTGAGCTCGTGACACGTCATCAGCCTCAGCACAAGCACTGTTCCAATTGCTGAGAACGCAAGATGGAGGACGCACCAAATCAAATGTTGTTCTCGCCCCGCCCGCTTTACCTAGCATGCATCACAGCAGACTTGTCTGTTCTAGGGTTAGTTCTCTTTCTGTTGCTGTTGTTTAATAAAACTTTGTTTTAAGATTATTTGAGGCGAAAATATTATACTTTCAAGCGTCACTATATGGCCCATTAACTGATTCAATGCAGAATTAAAAAAAGATTTCCAAAGTTGAGAGGACCGCGGCAACCAGCGTGCCGCGTGCTCGCGTTCTCGCCTCGTCCAGACTTTGCTTTGTTCTTGCCAAGAGCGGCCTTGACGAGAAAGCGAGTACGGACTCACGTTCTCGTGAATTGAGAAACGGCCCGGAAGTAAACATGGATGGTAGCGCTGGAGCGCATCTAGAGATCTTTCCCAACCTTTAAAACTCAATCTTCAATGTAAATAATCCGCATCATCGTCCGCCATGTTGTTTTTCTTTCTGCTTCAGTGTGAAAGATGCAGAACAGTGACCTGTGTTCAGTATTAATGATTCAGATCGGATGAATGCGACCTGGCCGCTCAGACACAGATCGCATTAGAAAAGATCAGATTATTNTCAGGAGCACAGAGCCAAGCAGGTCGCAGACATCAGATCTGTTCTGTTCAGACATGGAAAGTCATGGAAAGATCTGCTCCAGGCTGCAGACGAGCAGAAAACATCGTATTTGGTCCCTTCAGGCTGATGTGAACGTAGCCTAAGATGGTTCCTGGAACTTTAGACTCTCCTCCATCTTCCAATGATCCGTCAGCAGCAAACCTTCAGCTGATGTTTTTAGAGCTTCTCCAGGCAGACCTACTGAAAGACATCCATGGACTGCTGTGAGCTGCTGTGATGTTCTGCTTTGACCTTTGAACTTTGGAGTTGGCAGCGCGGTTAGCTTCTGGGGGTGTCTACCTTAAACTAACCGTTTCCCGTCCTGTGCTGCAGGTAAAGAAATGATCGAGATGTACTTCGACTTCCGCCTGTACCGCCTCTGGAAGAGCCGCCAGCACTCCAAGCTGCTGGACTACGACGACCTCATCTGACCCCGCCGGCCCCCATGAGGCTTTTCAGCCAGTTCTAACCGGTCTGAGCCTGCAGCTGCACGGCGGCGTGGTGTTGGCCATCTTGAACGTCCATCAGGACTCCGGCTCTGCAGCAGAGCGGCAGCGGCGAGCCAGGAGGTGTTTGTTTCTTTCTTGGACAGGCAGACGGTGGCCTCGTAGAGACGTCTGTAACCGTCAGCCATTTTCATTTCTGCCTCCCTCTGGAGGGGGGCGGGAGGAGAGGTCAGCCATCGTCTTCGCCTGGATGCGTCAGTGATGCTGATGGAGAACAGCAGCTTTGCTGTTTCATTCTTTCAGAAGGACTCAGCTCTCTGAGGCTCCTAACCATCAGAAGGATTCCTTTCTTTTCTCAAAGGAAGCAGAATTAGATGTAAATAAAGAGGATTCTGAGTGACGGCGTCTTAGAAACAGCTTTCATTTCTACTAAACCTTTAGATTTGCAAACTAGAAAGTATAGATGTATTTCATGCAGACTGTTGTCTAAACTCAGGTGAAACCCTTCTGTAGGTCAGAGCTGAAGGCGTTTTTAAGCCCCGCCTCCTCAGAGGAACATGGCTGCTCTGCAGGATGTTCAGACTGACCATTTATTATCACCTCATATGAAGCAGGTGCAGAAAAAATTAGTTTGGATATTTTAGCATTTTTCTATTTATTGTTCTAGATTTAACTTGAATGAAACGAAGTAGCAATGATTAGGAAAGGCAATACTGTGTTTGATGTTAGAGCTGTTATTAAACCGTGTTAATAGGAGCCTAGATTACAAAGCTGCGTTCACACCAAACACAGCAGGAGCAGCAAAAACGCGTCTGCTGCTTTCTTTTTGATGCCCGTACCAGTTTATTTCAGACGCGCGGCTGAAGCATCTTTGCTGTTCTGGCTGCGCCGTCAAAAAGTTGGTCTGACGTGCGGTGGGCGGAGCTACTCTATCCTTTCTTTGCCCTGCAGCCATATTTGCTGTGACCAGTGGGAATAAAGTCGTTCTAACATGTTTTTAAGTGAGAAAGTCCTCCTGAAAACTTAATCAGTGCAGTCAGTTCATCCAGATTACCATCTGATGCGCAGTGGGCGGAGCTACCCTTACCTTTCTCTGCCTGGAACAATGGCAGCTATATTAGCTGTGATCAGCGGGTAGAAAGTAGTTAGAATCTATGTTGAAGTGAGAAAGTCCTCCTGAAAACATGGTCTGTGCAGTCAGTTCATCCAGATTACCATCCTGCCTTCAAAGATTATTTCTCTGTGGGAGCCGCTCAGACCCCCACATACCGGCGCTGCGCTGTCAC